ATTCTGAAGTGATCTGCAAATAATTCTCCTGTCTTTTTCAATTCAACTGTCAAATTAAAAAAAAATATGTGTAGACAGTGCCATTTCTAATACTGGTATCACTTAATGCTTTGTCTCCATCTGCAAATATTTACCTTTGTTACCCTTATGATTAAAAATCATAGTAAAGATTTATTTTTTAAAAAAGGTGCATCAGTTTATATTAGAGAGCATCTTTTACTTCTGAAAATTCAAATTAAATGGCCCAAATCATATTTCTCAGTGTGCCTAATGCTAGATATATTTTTTCTCCTCAGCCTTTAAGTTTTGAGAGCAAGAAAAGCTATACTTTGAAAGTAGAGGGTGCCAACCCCCACCTGGAAATGCGGTTCCTGAACCTCGGTCCGTTCCGTGACACCACCACTGTCCATATCAGCGTGGAAGATGTGGATGAACCTCCCGTGTTCGAGCCCAGCTTCTACTTTGTGGAAGTGCCCGAGGACGTGGAGATTGGAACCACCATACAGATCATTTCTGCCAAGGACCCAGATGTGACCAATAACTCCATCAGGTCTGTCCTCTCTTTGTGTGTTTGCCCAGGAGCATTTCTCCCCTGTATGTCCGGTTGGTGGGGTGGTGATGGGGCTGAAACAGTGCTGGTGGGAGGGAGTAGCCAGTAGTAGTCATCAGTGGGTTTAGTCAAACCAGATCTCATACACTGATGGGCTCTGCTACAACTGTTAAAGCAATGCAGGAGCTCACCCTTGGCTTTTCTGTGGTATGGAGAATGTCTGCATCTAGCCTTGCAATAAGCTGGTCTGGCATGTCCTGACAGCGCACATCAAAACCAAACCCCAGACTCTTGTGCCTTTGCTGACACAAAAGCAGAGGGCATCACAGAGAAGCTGTTGTCATACCAAGGGGGAAGTGATCCACTTGCTTCTCCTTTCTCCCTCTTCTGAATCAAAGCCTGCCTTTTCCAACAGCTCAAATACATAGCTACTTTTGGAGTAGACTGAATGCATACTAATAAATATTCATGAACCACTAAATTATATAGGGTCTGGTCAAAACTGCAGTGTTAGATATTCCCATAAGGAGTTAAAGCTAAAGGTGTATTTACAGCCATGGGAGCTTCATAGCTGCAACTCAGCAAGGAGCCAACAAAGCAGATTTGTGTGATCACGCAGCTCTTTTCCTTGGTGGCTGCCAAGGAAAAGCCCAGTTTATCACAGAAGACTGTTTTTCTCCAAGGCCAGCCCATGTACTAATTTTTACAATCTGCAGAATCTCCGAGTGATGGCAAGTTAATAATCCCAGCAGGTCAGCTGCTTCTCTTATCTGACACGAGCATTGGATGTTGAGCTGCTGTTTGCCTAACCTTGCATCAGTCCAACTTCTGAATCGACTGTGTTTGGGAACAGTCCTGGGAAATACAGGAGGGAGTCAAAACATCAAGTATTCAGAGTTTTTGAAGAAAGCAAAATCTATACAAGCAACTCTGTGGGCTTCAGCTAGGAGATCTAAGCAGACAGAAAGCCTGTTCTTATTAATACTGCTTTCTGGGTTGCTGCTCTATTTTTTTTCATCTCTCCTACCTTAATACACCTACCTTTTCTACCTACATTATAAGGTTATACTTCTCATGGCATTGTCTCAGTTTCTTCAGTAAAACTGTTACACTGTCTGCATCACAATTTCATTGCCCTAAACTTTTTTCCATCCGCATCCTATTTTGCTGCTCACTGTCTAGCATTATCCAAACACTCCAGGCTTTGTGCTAATCTGCTTAAAATAGTATAAGAATAATTCTGCAGACTATCAGAGGGTAAAAGTGTTCGTTGTTATTTTTAATGATGTTTTCCTTAGGTTTCTTCAGAGCTTTCCAGTGACTACCCTTGATGAACCAGCATGCTATAAAGCACAGAACGTGTCATCAAAGATAATTAAAGAAGGAAAACCCAACCAAAAAAAAAATTCCTAATTAGCAGACTTCTTTGTGGCTCTATTCTTTCCCAACTTTCTTCCACTTTTTCTTTCCATCTTCCTCCTTTCACACTTTCCTTGTTTCCTCCTTCCTTCCCTCCTTCCTCCTATACACCTTGTACAGAAAAATATAAATGATTGGGGTAGAGGAAACAGGATAAAAAAGAATAAATACCATTTGTAATGCTACCTAAAATGCAGATATTAAGAATTGGCTCACCTTGCCTCTCACATGGTCTTCTCCATCCATGCCAACTCCATGCAGTATCGGTCTGGTAATGTTTTACATTTCTTCTGCATTCATTTTGCACAGAGCATGGCAAGATCAGAAAACCAAAACTCTAGATACATATTTTGTTACACAAGCTGAAATCCATCTGAAACTAAAACTGTGGTCTGGCCTCTCCTTTTGCCATTTTTTCAAGCATGGAAAAGGCAAGATGTATTTCGGAAGGGGAACTTTCAAGTCCTTATTTTCCCATCATCTGGTATCTGGGCTTCCACACTGAGAAATTCGGATGGCTGGAAGTATGCTATAATTTTTGTTAAGTGATTCAGGAAGATTACCTGAAAGGTACAATGGAAACGAGTGTGAAGGAACAGATATTATTAACAGAACTTAAGTGCAGAATCCAAAGACTCCAGCTGTGCTTCTTGACATTGGTTATTAATACTGCACCTCTAATCACAAGGCCATATTCAATTTCAGATTGGCCTTAAACTGTCATTATAGCCCTCATACAAGAATAATTATTATAGTGAAACATAGCAACACTCGTACTTATTTCCTAAATAAATCAAATGCCTCAGAAATCTCTTTATTTAAAAAGAGATGGGAAGGTTCAGGTAGGAAAGGGAAGCAAACCTGCCATCCCACCCTCTTTGTTTTTTCTGAAAAAAAAAGTGTAAAAGAATTGTCCAACAACATAGCTTAATAGTATTTTATATCCCAGTGTAATAAGTCCCCAGGTAAAGATCAGGCTGTCATGCTTGTTCCAGTGAATGCATTTGTGCAGAAAGGAGAAAATTCTGCTTTTGTGCAGAAAGGAGAAGAACAAGCCCTATTCATCATCAGTTAGGACCAGTGCTTTCAATTTCCATCAACTCAGAAGAAAGAACCAACAAAAATGAGAATGAGTCTGGGCTCTGTTCTAGGCTGTGGCATTTACATAAGCACATGTGCGCCTTTTGGTAAAGGATCACCTGCCACACTAACATGGTTAGCCAGGAAGGCAACTCATACAAACTGCTAAGACCAGGTGCATATGAAGGGTCCTAGGTCACACACCCTGTGGAATGGTCCCTCTGACCAAGTACAGAAGTGATAGCTGTCAGTCAGCTGCCTCCCTGCCTGAGTTTTCTGCCCTGCAGGCACCAGCACACTCCCTTGCTCAGGGGTATGAGAAGCTGACATGGTATTGGCCAGGCAGGTTCAGTAATTATGATGGATCAACCTCGCCATGGGGGGCACTTTTCTGGGTGGCTGATAGGAGAAAGCCAGTCATCATCTCCTTTGTGCTGACATGGCTTGATCAGGAGGATGGTCCAGGGTGCAGGTAGAGTTTATTCCCCTGAAGAAGCAGAGACTACAAAAGCATGAGGAAGGGAACAGTCCCTCCTCATCAGCCTAAGTTCCCAGAGAATAAGCTGATATAAAGTGATTTTCATGACATAATTATTTTGCTTAGAAAAAGAAATCATACTTCTCACTGACAGATTTTCTCTGCAAAACAAACGTTCCTGTGTTGAGCTGTGCCTCGCTTTGAGGCTTCTTTCTCTAAATTTACCTGTTGTCCAGCCCTAATCCAAGTAGTCCTCACCATTAAATGCCATCAGGCACTAGGAATTTATCTCAGTGTTTTGAGCATCTCACTCTGTATGTGTACTAGTCAATGGAGCACATCACTCAGTTGTGGAAGAGTGTGGATCTGCTGTGCATGACAGTATTCCCATGGCTGGCGTGCATTGTTGTCTGACACACAGTTTTCACAAGGGCTGCAAAATATTTTAATATGTACTCTTGCAGATACTCGATTGACAGGAGCAGTGATCCAGGAAGGTTCTTTTATGTCGACATCACCTCAGGAGCACTGATGACGGCAAGACCTCTTGACCGGGAGGATGTTTCTTGGCACAACATCACTGTGCTGGCCATGGAGCTGAGTAAGGAGAATGCAAACTGTACATAGATTAAAGAGATCCAATAGACAAAGCAGGCTGAGAGACCTGAATTCAGCAATTCAAATGTTCTTTTGCACTGAGTGGGAAGCCATATTATCTCGATTACTCTTCTGACACCAACAAGCGAATACTGCATTTTATTTATTTTTTTATGTTCCTATTCACAAGGTGGTGGGTGGAGTAGAGGCTGGCAATTTTATGCATAGCACTGCTTTCTCAGTTTATTAGTATTCCAGGGATTTAATTAAAACCCTTCCTGATGCATTTCTGGAAGAGCTCTATCTCTTCAAGAGGGCTGAGCACCTAAAACAGACACTGCAAAGGTTGCACAGCTGCCAGAGCTGCAAGTTCTACCTGGGAGGATTGTGTGGTGCAGGGACAGGAGGCAGCAATGATCCTGCAATGCTGGGTCACTAGTTGAAACGTTCTCTGGTTCAGGAGCAAGTAAATATCATCACCATCCACTTGCTGTTTAAGTAATTTGGGCCAGAGTGCTTTGGGATCTTCTAGGATGCGGAACTTGTTATGCTTTTAGGTTTTACAGTGAGCTAAACCTCAGCTCAGGATTCATCCATGCCAAGTATTTACTGAAGCTGTGAGAGCAAGGAAATGCTGATAATTGCATAGTGTCAGCATGAAAAAAATTGGCTGAGATTGAAATACTAACGGATGTGAGTTTCATAAAGGAATTTGGGATATATAAGCAAATAAATAAAAGGTTCATCTTCACCTGAAATCTCTTTGGTCCACGTACCTTTTACTCAAGGTCTTGGCTCATCTGCTGAGGGGCAGCAGCTTTCCAGAAGTTGTTGCCAACAGCTGAGCCATTCCTCAAGTCTGAGAGAGCTCTCTGCACATCCAGGCTGCACCAGAGATATCAGGCAGTTGGAGAGGAAAAAAGTTGCAATAAACTTGTCCAAAATGCAATCAGCCAACTCGAAGTTAGCACAGGGAGTATTTCACAAGAGTCACGGTGACTCTGCCACATATTTGCAGGCTATTCAAGCACATGATGTCTTTCTGTCCCCTTTTTAGTAGTGAGCAGGCTTGGTGACGTGATAGGATCTCACATCCTTCTATTTTGCTGCTAGTTTTATTTTCAGTCACCTATGGCTGTTGCAATTCCATGTAAATCCACATATGCACCGTAGCAGCACCGGAGGGTGAGATCCATATGAAGGCATATCTTCCTTTGACTCATCCTCCATCAGTCCTCTATCAGTTTTGTTCTGTACATGTGCAGCACAATATTATAAAATATATAAAATGTCTATAATATATATTTATATGAATATGTGGATATTTATATTTTGTATTTATATGAAACAAACTTTAAAAAATGTTACATTTGTGCATTCCTGAGTAAAGCTCATGGGTTTAAAAGTTAGATCAATATTACTAAGAATGTAAGTGCAGACAATTATCTGCCACACTGACAGGTGTGTTAGCAAGATATATATAGCTATATGGGAAGTTGAAGGATTAAATTAAAAATTAGGGAGAAACAATATAGTTTAAGAGTATTATTTTAATGAGTCATTGTGACCCACGTTATAGATACAGTACATTGAACATTTAAGAAAATTCTAGAGCATAAGAAAATTCTCTATTGTTTTTATGAACATATTTCTTGTTCTAAAGGGAGAGATACATTTGGAGATAAATGCAGAAAGTGCTATGACTAAAAAGCAGATAGGACTAATTTTTAAGAATTTTCTGGAGTTTTCTGCCTTTCCTGACCTTTTGATAATTAATTTTTTTTTTTCTTTCTGCTTAGAGTTTCATTTTAACATTCAATAAGGGAAAAAATATGTTTAGGAGCAGAAAAACATAGGGAGAAAACCACTGTTGCCACTTAGTTTGGAAATTGTGAAGATATGAGAAATGATGTATGGATTTACTGGCAAAGAAATCTAATGAACCAATGGGACAGAAATATCACAAGTGATATCACGCAGAATGTAAAATTTTCATTGCAATTTTAAGCTTCAGTGAAAGCTTTTCTGTACAATTTCATGTGTTATTACATTTTAAACCTCCCTGTACAAAGTATCAAAGACTTGACACTACTTTTGAGTTCAAGCAACATAAATGCTGAGCAAAAACATATCTGAACTGCAGAATTACCACTTTTAACAAGATCTAAATAACAAACCTATACTTAAAAGAGTCCCTTCCTAATTCACGCCACCAGTATCAAGGCTCAACAAAGAGCACTGCACATTCGAAGGGCAATAAAAAAAGATACAGGGCATTGTCTAGGACTTTTGTTATAGAGATAGTCCCATTGGACTGAACCAGGTTGAAGTCTTTAACAAAGTTTCTTTGAAAAAGGAGTGATTAGATGGGAAGCCAGGATGGACAGAGAGCAGCATTTGCAGCTTCACTCCAAGTTACACAGCTCACCAGTGACCACAGTTCCTGGTGGTAAAAATCTCATTTAACCTGAGTCACTAGTGGAAAAGCTGCTTCATCTCTTGAGAAGAGCGAGGAGCAGCCCCTTCCCCTTCCCATATATTGCCTTTCTTTATGTTGTGCCTCCTCCTTCCAGACAACCCCATGCAGGTGGGCAGCGTCTCCGTAATGGTGAAAGTCCTGGATGTGAATGACAACGCGCCGGAATTTGCAAGGTTTTATGAAGCTTTTGTCTGTGAAAACGCCAAAGCAGGGCAGGTGAGAAATGCTAGTAATGACAGAGATTAGGAGGGGATGCTGTCCCACATGGAAACAGTGTGCCAGAAAAGGTGAACGTTGGAAAGAGGGCTCAGCTAACCACGCATTTCGTCTGAACTCATCAGCAGCTGTTTATGCTGCTTTCCAAACGCCAGCACCTTGTGATGAAAGTGGCAACATATATAGCACCTCTTTTTTCTCATGCAGTTATTTCCAGGCTCACTGTGCAATATATGTCATGGCTGAAATAAAGCCTTCTGATATCCTTCTGCGAAGGTGTGACAGAATGCATTGATGAAGGGAGACCGGTGGATGTTATATCCCTTGACTGCAGTAAAGCTTTTGATACCATCCCCCATAACATCCTCGTAGGTAAACTCAAGCAATGTGGGATAGGTGATTGGACCATGAGGTGTGAGCAGCAGAGGTCAGAGGGTTGTGATCAGCGGCACAGAGTCAAGTTGGAGGCCTGTGACCAGTGGTGTTCCCCAGGGATCAGTGCTGGGTCCAGTTTTGTTCAATACTTCATCAACGACCTGGACAAGGGCATAGAGTGTACTCTCAGCAAGTTCGCTGATGATACAAAACTGGGAGGGGTGGCTAACACACAGGAAGGCTGTGCTGCCATCCAACGAGATCTGGACAGGCTGGGGAGCTGGACAAAGGTGACCCTCGTGAAGTTCAATAAGGGCAAGCGTAGAGTCCTGCATCTGGGGAGGAATAACACCAGGCAGCAGAATGGATTAGGGGACATCCTGCTGGAAAGCAGCCCTGTGGAGAAAGGCCTTGGGGTCCTAGTGGACAGTGAGTTGTCCATGGAACAGCAACGTGCCCTTGTGGCCAAGAGGCCAATGGGATCCTGGGGTGCATTAAGAAAAGTGTGTCCAGCAGCTCAAGGGAGGTTCTCCTCCCCCTCTACTCTGCCCTGGTGAGACCTCACCTGGAATACTGTGTCCAGTTTTGGGCTCCCCAGTTCAAGAGAGACAGGGACCCACTGAAGAGAGTCCAAGGGAGAGCTACGAGGATGATTCAGGGCCTTGAACATCTCTCTTATGAAGAGAGACTGAGAGAACTGGGGCTGTTTAGCCTTGAAAGGAGACGGCTGAGAGGGGATCTTACTAACGAATAGAAATATCTGAGGGGTGAGTGTCAAGAGGAAGGAGACAATCTCTTTTCACTGGTGCCCAGCAATAGAACAAGAAATAATGGGTTTAAGTTAGAACATAGGAAGTTCCACCTCAACATGAGGAACAATTTCTTTACTGTGAGGGTGACAGAGCACTGGCACAGGCTGTCCAGGGAGGTTGTGGAGTCTCCTTCTCTGGAGACTTTCAAAACCTGCCTGGACACGTTCCTGTGTGGCTGCCCTAGGGCATCCTGCTCTGGCAGGGGGACTGGACTAGGTGATCTCTAGAGGTCCCTTCCAACCCTCAACATTCTATGATTCTCTTGGGCAGATGCCAGCAGGCAAACACTCAGTGCGTCCTTTAGCACCTGTGTCTCCTAATGCAAAGCTGACTAGCATAGCTCAGGCACACAGACACATCACTCATGTTTTGTGAAGGAAAAACTATGTTAGTAATACCACTGTGTGCCCACTGAAGCTTCTCCCAGATTGTGATGAAGCAGAATGAAACAGCTGCTCACTGCTGTGACAACTGTCTTTAAAACTATCATATACAAGATAATTTCATCTCACTAATTTACAGAGGTCCTTAATGAAAGAAGGAAAAGAAACTGTTGCTTAGACTTTTTTCCTGGGTTTAAGGGGTAGATGTCCTAAATAATAAGCTGAGAAATGCACACTGATGTGTTCTTCCACTGGAGAAAGCCAGATTCTGTTGCCACATTTTGAAAAGTTCTGAAATCAGATTTAAGGTGGTGAATAAGATTTTAGGGATCTGTCACTTGCCTTTGAATCCAAAAATAACTTTTGAATGCAAAAATCCAGATGGAGATTCGTTCATTGTCTAAAAAGATGTCAGAATGTTTATTTAGACAGAGCTGTAGCTCCCTGTGCTTCAAGCTGTTAGACCTACTTTACTAAGTCTCTACAGGTGAGGTGACAAATCTTTTTCTGGGTTTAGTGTTGTCTTAGTAACTTTCCATGGTGTTATTTACTGCATATGCAGAGTTTCTGCACAGTTGCCTTTTCTCTCTTTCTTTTCCACTGACATCTTGGGAAGAATTGAATTGTCTTAAAATTAAAAGAAAGATAAAATTAAAAGAAAGATAAAATAATCAGCATGAATCCTTTTCTACCTGCAAAATTAAGCTTTCCTGAGAGCTCTCTAATGCACAGTGAATCTTCTGAACACCCTGGGCCCTCAACAGAAAAGAAGAAACAGGGAGCAGAAGATAGGAATGCATAAGAAAAAAAGTCTCTTTTATTTGAAGCAAACTGATTATCTCCTCCTTTATTTAAAAGTGAATTGCATGATCATAGCAAAATGAATGAAGCCTGCAAGGTTCTGAGTCTCTTCTTGATGTATCTATTCTACCTCTGCCCAACAGTTTTACTGAAATGCTCCAGCTCCTTATATTTAAATGTATATATGTTATTTGTTTATTTATATTATTTTTTTTTTTTGCTTCTCACCTGTTTCTGCTTTGTTCTCCTATTTTGTAGCTGATCCAGACAGTGAGTGCCATTGACAGGGATGACCCACAGGAGGGTCAGCATTTCTACTACAGCCTGGCTCCAGAGGCGGCCAACAACCCCAACTTTACTCTAAGGGATAATCAAGGTAATTGGAGTGGACACAGACAGTTAGCTACTCTAATTTCTAATGCCTAAGCTGGACTTGAGAGGCTGTGACTTACAGCGTGTGATAAGACTGCCATTTCAAATAATACCAAGTGACACCTGCTCCTTAAAGGCAGTGATAAAATGACATATTACTTAATACACTTGAAGGTTATATCATATTTTCTTCTCTATAAATATTCTCTAGCAAGAGATCCCTTTTTCTTCTTCGAGGAAATGTGCCAGTGTTTTGTGCAAATTCAGGTCTTACGGTCATGCTGCAGGCATCTCAGATTACCGGAGTGGAAATTGCATTCGTTCAAAAGGAGTTGCTTAAAGGTAGGATAGCAATTGGAACTAGGAGACAAATCTGAAGGGAATTACATTGCTCTTTTTTTGTACTCTTCATGTTTTCTCGCAGGCAGCGAAAGGGAAGGTTCTTGTACACTTCCAGTCTTTTCCCCCAAGCACTTTTCTTCTTCCTCTTTGTACATCCTCGTTTCCCTAGGAAAAGGAGCGAGGGAGGGAGGGAGGAGATGCAGAGCCTTAGTGGGTAACTTGGTGTACAGCTAAAATTCTGTGTAAGACGTGCTAAGTAGAAACTGAAACACCAGTGGGAAGTCTCATGGCAAAGCACTGGCATGTTAGTATCCTAACCAGTGGAATTCGCTTCTTTTGGGGAAGCTTTGGTGGTTTTGAAAGCCTTCAGGAAAGCCCTTCACATAGCTGCTGCTGATAGATGATCTCCACAGGCAGACACCAGTGTGGAGGTCAGGTCCACGCCAGCCTTCACCAGGAAAGAGGGATGACCTTGAGTGACCTGAGGCAGAGCTTTGAAAGTCAATGTGAAGGGGGTGGATTTCAGCATGATTTTAGTGTGTAAAGTGGCACAAATCAGCAAGTGATTCCAGAATAAACAGGGAGAAAGCCCAGACACCTGCACCATCCATGGCCAGCTCCAAGGAGAGTGCCTGCCCCTGCTCCCACACATGCCTGCTTGGCACATATACTTCCATAAGCCCCTGTCTGTGCCTCTGCAACCATGTGAAAGAACAACATAGAGGCTAATAAAGCAAGCTCTGCTTCCATTAATCAAACATGTCTTAAAAACATGCTACTTGTAGAGTCTGGAGCTCTCCTCCACACATGCTCTTGCTTTTTCATCCCCAAAGCAATTTTTTTTCTGTAGTGTCCCTGAAGCCTCCCCACACAATTTCTTGCATTTTTATCCCCTTCTCTCTCCCACTGTCTCCCTCTTTTTTTTTTTTCTTTTTTTTTAGTACATGTTGCCAAAGCAAATGAACAAATACAACACAACTATGGCTACAATATTTGGCAAACTAGGCTCATTTAATCCTCAAGGCATTGTTCAAAAAAAAGAAACCCAGAAATTTCCCAGCATCAGATGCCTTTTTTTTCTGTCTAAGGCCGTACTTGCGATAATTTATAGTGACAGCAGTGACTGAATGGCTGTACCTCCCGCTGTCTGTAAAATACTAGTTTTCCAGAGATATACATCACAAGAAGCTTAGGGTAATATCGGTTACAAATTTCAAATAAAAAAGTTAAGTATCAAACCTCTGACTATTTGAAATATACACATTAAGGATCAATTTACTGCCTCAACAATTTGGAGTGCAGTAGTCATTTCAGTAACAACAATTTATATTTTCATCTAGGGACCACTAAGGACTAAACAAATTATATGACTTAATCACAGAGGGGGTAGCTATATTTCACAGTGTGGCAAGACAAGAAAGAGAAACCACCTTTCTACTCACAGGCTGTGCACATAAACGTGAGACAGCAACGCTTCCCAGGCTGTGGGAATGTGCTGTGAAGATTAGCAGTTTTGCTGATTACTTGGCTGTCTGATATAGCAGTAAGAGAAACTGCAAGACATGCAGCCTTCCTGGCAACAATTAAAACCTTGAGTTATACTGAGCAGCAGATAGATCACAGTTTGCATTCTTATGAGCTATTTTACATATTTCTTTGGCCCTTGTCATTTTAGTCTCTGAAAACTTCTTCAGTCTATTGTTCTCCACATGTATCTGGCAGACAGAGAAATCCTGTCATTCTCCACTTTATGGACAGGGGTCTGGGGCAAGGAGAAATTGAGCTACTTACACATGTGGATCCCTTTGAATTCAGTAAAATTGGTGTGAGATAGACATGTAAGTATCAGCAAAGATCTGGGCCTAAATGACTTTCCAAGGCTGTATAGAATATATGTGAAGAAGCAGGGAGTTGATCTGGGGGCTCCCATCTCTTTGGTTGCTGATGTAGGGCATTGGCAAACCATCTTATCACACTTCTAAATCCAGGTGGGATTATGCTGGAAAGAAGTTGGCCAAGGATGCTTACTCTAAGAATGGGATGAACAATTAAATAAGCTTACTGTGCTTCCAGATTAAGCTCTGAGCTGATCTTCTTTTGACCCTTAAAAGCTGCCCTCAGTCTTTAGGTACCAGGAACTGATGAAGGCAGTAGCCATTTTAGTGCATCGCAGCATCAGTGTCACACCACTGCCAGGTCCATCATTGGAAGCATATAGCAGTCCTCCCCATTGCATTTAGATTTGTTCTAGGAAATTTTTTAGCTATATCTTCCTTCCCTAAATCTGTCATCTACCTCACACACTTTGGCAAGGTGCAAAAGCAGTGAGTTGAAAATTCCCAAGAAAAAATGTGATGCCTTCCTCAAGCTGGTAGTGTCTGTGACGCCTGCTTGCTTGTGCTCTTTCTCCCACTCGTGGTGAAGTATTTCTTTATATTACTCCTAACTATTCATAATTATTTTAATTAGTTTTCCAAAACTAATAGAATTTCTGGGCTAACCATGCCCAGTTCTTCTGCAGATACATACAGAAAGAAACCAAGCCTTTCCAAGAGGCGGTGGTTAACTCTGACCTCAGAGTTTGGACCTACACAGAGGTTAATTCCCCTGACCTCTCCAGGCAGGTACATGACTTCCAGTGGGGCAGAAAATTACAGAGGGAGATGCCCCATGGCTTGCTGTCACAACCACATGAGGACACCAGCCTGAATGTCCAGCAGGAGGTACGGTTTTTTGTCTCCTGCTGATCACACAGGCACGGAACCTGCCCTGCTGCAATCTTCAGCATCTCTGCTCAGCACTGCAGCCTCTTGCAAGCCAAACATGCCATGTTGGAAGCTGTGATGCAGAAGTATTCTGCATTCTTATCAAAAAATCACACAGAAGCATGGAATGTCAGGGGTTGGAAGGGACCTCTGAAGATCATCTAGTCCAACCCCCCTGCCAGAGCAGGATCCCCTAGGGCAGCCACACAGGAATGTGTCCAGGCAGGTTTTGAAAGGCTCCAGAGACACAGATCATGCTTACTTGTTTTTTGTAATATAATGGGGTCTTCATGTCCTCATAAACTCTCTTCTGTTGATGGCTGGGGCTTAGTAGATATCAAATTTGGAAGAAAATTTTGTGTTCCAGTTTCTGTTACGCTGCATCGCATTCCAGCGTGCCCCTCGCACTGCAGAAGCACATCAAATTGCGTTGGCTTCTCATGAGTCACACCACAAGCTTTGGCACCAACGTACAGCAGTTGCTGAGTAACAGGTAGAGCAGTTCTTCAGGGATGATTTGGATGCCTACCAAACCCAAAGAGCCAAAATCTAGTGCTGAGAGTCACCAAGAGAATTTCATCACCAAGAGCGTTTAAGACCTGGGTGATATGGTCAGTACATCAAAGCAAAAATATGTTCTTACGTATATATCTTTCAGTATTTGATTATAGAAACTTCAGTTTGCCTGAAAACAGAATTAGGGTTAAAATCATTTGAGGTCTCTCGCTATCTGATTTCACTCAGCTTCAGTCAGGTTCACTGCCTGTGGCTTTTTTTATCGGCCAGGTATGACCAGCTCGCAATAATAAATTCTTTTTTTCCTCACAGAGAGCAATTTTACATAAAATGAAGATTTGCTGTCACCTGAATAGAATTTGTGACTTATGTCGCAAGTCAGTTTAAAAACAGTGAGTCTTTCACCCAGGAAAGAGAAATGCAACCAAATTACTGCACTGTTAAGACAACTCAGACATTTCCATTGAGGCAGCATAAATGCAGGCATTTTGCCATTTTCTGCCCTTTGGGCTGCTTTTTCTAATACTAAAACCGGCCTAGTGATGAAAAGATATGGTGTTCATAGCTGGGAAGCACATACTAGAGGACATATAAACAGCCTAAGGGAGAGAAAGCACTTGTGTGTGTCCCAAAAGGCAGGAGGGAGAGGTTTGCAGGAGACGAGGGCTCTGGTCCTCAGGACACCTCTGCCCAGGAGCCACGGACGCTGCTCTCTGCTGGGCTTGAGGACACATTCCTGAAAATTATCTGTGTCTGCATGGCATATCAAAGGGTAATGAAATCAGTAAACACTGACACATAATCAGCTTTAAGCAACTTTGGGGATTTCATCTTGTATCTGGTTGATTTTCCTCAAGGCTCCAGCTCTTGGGATCACATGAGTTAATGAGACGCTGCAGTTTCACTGTATATTCACATACAGACCTGCACACGTTCTTCAGGATTTTACGCTTTCAGAGTAAAAGCTTGAAATGTCATTGACATGCGAGAAATAAAAGACCCTGAGATTCCTTTTAAAAACACATCACAGATTCAAACTAATGTCCCAAACTGTGAAGCCTGACATCTCAGTACTTACGTGCACCAGTATTGTCTGATGCTATAAGATTTGCAGCACAAAGTATGGAACTTGGAGCATAATTTAAGTATAGCGGGCAAATCTAGTGCGTCTAGCTTGAGTTTGCATATATTCCATAGCTGTTTGTATATAACACTCCTGATTTCACTCCTGAAAGCCATCATACCACTTCTGATGTTGAGACTCTAGCAGATAATACAGCTGATTTCTCTACATGCGACCTGAGTCTCTTCACTAAAGAAAATCACCCAAGATTTAAATTTTAGCAGTGAATTGACAGAGAAATTATAAAGAATACAATTTCCAGGTAGCAGCCCCATTGTGCCAATCTGCCTGGGAACAGCTGATTGGCATCCTGCATTTCCAAGCATTGCAAATGTATATTGGTAACAACCTGTTACAAGTTTATGTATATAGTATAGACACACATTATATTTCTATTTCTATTTATTTATATATAATATGCATATATGTATAGTGTGTATAGTATGTAATATATATATACACACACTAAAAATAGCTGAGGAGAGCAGATGGCCAGACTATGACCTCTTTTGAACCAAGGGAAAAGGGAAAAAAAAACAAGTAGTAAACCAAACTGCACAAAGCCCAGCTTCCAAAAAATCCCACAGCATCACTGCAGGGGGTCAGAATTTAGAAGTCTGCCAAAGCGAAAAAATTACTTGCATTCTCCATTTATGTTTGATGGCCCAAGATTTACAGACATGCTCATAAGAAGGGCCAATTTTCCTTCAGGTTCCTTTAGACTCCATGGTGGCACAGAGTACACTGAAGACATTTCACTCTTGCACTTTCCAAAAGTCTCTGAGGCCAAAAATCTTGAAAGTCCGTGCTGAACAAAAATCATCACTGGTCTCCAGAGATTTTGCCTTGACACTCCTGAGATGAGAATTGAGAAGAAAAAAATCCCATATCCAATTTCTTTCTGATTAGGAAACTTGGTGTGCAGCCTGGGGAATTTGAGAGAGAGAGTAGACAGGAATTCAAATGCCACTGGGAAATTCTAACGTTTTGAAAACCATGGTGAAAATAGAGGAACAAGCCTCAAAGGTAGGAATTTCCCTTGAAATGCCCAACAGCAACTGGCTGTTAGGTTACTCTCTTACTATGTTTTTTTCAGCAGCAGCATTTTGATTCCTTTGGATTGAAGTTCTTATAAAAACCAGTCACACTAAATGAAGCAGAATGGGCAAATCAAAGCAGAATAATTCCGACAATGATGACATGAAGCATTATGACTTTTTTTCAGTGGCAGTAGTGCCAGTGAAATTGCACGTATTTCACTGAGAAAATGTTTAGTTGCAAATTTTCAACTCGCTGTTGCTTTAGGATAGGAAGCTGGTTTTTTCCTTCATCTTCTTGTTGCCTCAAGCAGATGACCATGCCATGTATCAAAAGCCATAAAGAACACCTTCACATGTCCTCAAGGTTTATACACCAGCATCTCCAAAATGGTGGCAGTGCTTAAGAGTGAGGTCTAGAAAATCTCCTGAGCATGAACAAACAGAGACAAGTTGCCTTCAACTGCTCATTCTGCCTTGCCTTCTGAAGGCTTTTTTAGCTAAATCCGAAGGCTGCGAGTTTGCTGTGGGCACTTTATGTCAGAAGGGGTAAAGGCAGGCAACTCCTAAGGTGTATATGCTTTGCAGGTTTGGAGCTGTGGCCTGGGAAGATACTGGAATAAGGCAGAAAGAGGCAAAATGCTGATTAGTGGCAAATTGATTAAAAAAAAAAAAAGGGAAAAAAAAGAGAGAAGACAAATGGATATGGGTCTAGGGCTGGTATTTTTAACCTTCCTCCTCTGCTTGAATGCATTTGCTCTGCATACAAGATCTCCTCCCCATTTATTTTCTTTAGACAATACGGCGTGGATTTTGACAAGGCGCTCTGGCTTCAGACAACGTGAGCAGAACACCTTCTACCTCCCTATCCTGATCAGTGACAACGGCCGCCCCATGCTGAGCAGCACGGGCACGCTGACCGTGCACATCTGCAGCTGCGACAATGACGGCCTGGTGATGTCCTGCAACGCAGAGGCCTATGTCCTCCCCGTCAGCCTGAGTAGAGGGGCACTTATTGCAATCCTTGCCTGCATCTTTGTCCTGCTAGGTAAACCCTTGGCTTCTTCTTGGGAGGGGACAAACTCTGCAGTTCTGGCTGGGGCGTTGCTGATCCACCAAATATGAAGGAGATGCACATTTTTATATATATATATATA